AGAAAAAAAGAAAAAAGAAAAAAAGAAAGAAAGAAAGAAAGAAAGAAAGAAAGAAAGAAAGAAAGAAAGAAAGAAAGAAAGAAAGAAAGAAAGAAAACAGCAAAGAGCAAAGGGAGGAGCAGTGGCTGTGGTAGCTAACAAGCCTCTCTCCCTTCCTTCTGTTGTACGCAGATTATTCATCCCGGGTCAGGTGTAGCACTCACACACACAATCCTAGCATTGGATTATGAATTAACCACAAACTCTAGAAGCTTTCCCCCCTGGACTGTGTGAGGCTTTGGGGGTCAACTCACACAAACCATAACAGCTCATCATATTAGATTTTTTTTTATCAGTAGGGCTATAATTCTCTGCCATATTTCAGAACTTCTAAGTGATGTCTTGTAAAATTCCAAATCATAGCTTACAGTCTTATTTGTGCCATTTTCACACTGATTTGGGTATTTATTACACATAAAATAATCTTAAATATACTATACTTATGCAGACTGGTGGAGTGGACCATTTTCTTCCTAAACATTGTATAAAAGCAGGTCCATCAATTCCAAATCCTTCCAAACAGTTGTATGTAACTTCTTCTCCATACTGATAGTTTTCCAGTTCGTGAGACACAAAACCATTAGAAATTGAAGGTGGAGGTTCACAAGGAAGCCCTAAAAGTAAAATAGTGAAAGCATTTATTGATGTTTTGCTAATTCAGAAATTTAATTTTATGAGCTAATTTTCACATTCAGTAGTTTATTTTTTTCAAGGAAATGGTAGTATAGCAGCTATTCTGACATCCCAGAGATGGTTTACGAATGCCTACAAACTCCAAATGACACTTGTGAAACACTGCCACAGGCTGAGCAAGAATTTGAAACCAACAATAGCAATATAGTTAAGAGGTAGCCAAAATATTTCTAATTAATTATGAGTGATAAAAGCAGACATACAGGAACTCAGAAAAGACACTGTAGGAAAGACATGTAAAAATATTTAAAAACCTATTAGCAAAGCAAACTCTTCAGTCTGTAATGATGGATAGTTCAAATTCACTATACAACCTATTTTTTAAAATACCAGAATAAAAAGTGATTCCATGATGAATAAATAAAATGATAAAGTTGACTCAATTTGGTAAAAACTTTTGAATGGTAACCTGTAATTGTGTGTGTCTATATCTATATCTATATCTATATCTATATCTATATCTATCTATCTATATATATCTGTATATTCTGTCTTATTTTCATAACAATATTTTAAAATATTTTACCCAAAACTTTTTTAAAAATATTAATTTCAGACAGAATCTCGTTAAAGCACCCAGCCAGGCTCTGACCTGCAATCTTCTCCCATATCATTATTTTTAATGACTTGCACTAAAACCAAAGCTGCTATTTTTCAGACTGCCCTTACCGATGCACTCAGGCGGTGAACTCCATTTTCCCATGTGACACGTTATTCCATCTTGGGCAGATAATACAAAACCATCTTCACAAGTATAATTTAACTTAGTACCATGTGCATATGGTCTAGACGTAGTAGTTTGATTCTTTTCTTCTGAAGATCCCGATGGCTCAATAGCGCCATGGTTTATATGAGGGGGTGGGAAACAAGGCATTTTCTCTACATGAAGAGCAGAAATCAAAGGGCAAGATAGAAATCAAATTTTTAAATTGAAAACCCAAATCAAATCTTGCTTAAGTTATGGCTCCACAAGCGTTATGCTGTCGCATTCTTTTTTAGATGTGCCATTCATTCAGATTCTTGTTCAGATGTCCTATTCATTATGTGGAATAGCATATTTACAAAGAGAACTTTACCTGGCATTTACATTTTTTTCCAAACTGTTGTCTATATTATCTTCATAGAAGTGAAAAACAATGATTCATTATTAATTGGTGGAGGTAGTTGGATCATAATGTATAGTTCTGGATAAAGTGTAATGGATATAGAGAAAAGCTTTTAGTTGTTCCGTGTGTATAGCTTACATGGGGGATTATTAATGATTCACTGTGAAAATGCTACAAAGCAAGTAATACATACTACCACTGACCCACACAGCGTGGCAACGACTGCCATTTTCCATTTTTGCACAAAATTTCGTCTGTTTTCAGAGGTATGTAATTTTCTTGGCAAAGAATAGACACTGTTTCTCCATCTTCATATTTCACAGTGGTCATCATATTTTGAGCTTTGGGAATCTGAGGTGGAGGGGGGCATGAAACTTTTTCTTCTTCTGGAAAACATTAAAAACAGACTCCTCAAAAAAAGCATTGTAACAAAATATTAAAAGACTAATTATCAATGAATGAAAGGTCAATAACTATGAATAATTTATCATATAACATCCTATGTTTATGTATTTTATATTTTTAAGCTTGTATCACAGTTCAACGTTATCTATTCTTTTTTAAAAGTTTTTTATTTTTTAAAGAGGATACAAAATACTGATAATATAAAATTAGAAATGATACAGAATTTCACTCAACAAAATAATATGAATTAGAAATGTTTGTTATATTGTATAGTGTTGTCTTCAAATTGGTTGTTTAAGGGCCAGCGAGATAGCTCAGTGGACTAAGCACTGGCTTAGGCAAATGCAGGGACTGGGGATCAATCCCCAGTATCTCATTCTGCACTGGCCCTGCCCTTGGGCGCACTGAGCCAGTCACTGATTCTGGGAGTGGTGGCGCATGCCTGTAATCTCAGTGCCAAGGAGGCTGAAAACAGGAGGATCACTATGAGTCCCAGCTGCAGAGTGAGACCCTGTACTAAATACATTTTTTTAAAAAATTGGTTGTTTGGATTAAAAGGTTTTAAGAAATTAAGATGAGAAAAAAATTAAGCATTAACTGTTCCTTTCCATAGACCAACAGAAATCAACAGTATAACTGCTCAAGGCATCCTGCATCAATACATAGCTATATCTCCCTCCCCTCCTCTCTAGTCCCTTTCATCTCAGTATTTCATTCCCTTTGAATGTTACCCACATAATATATATATAAATGTATATATAATATATTATATATATTATGTAGGTAAATGTATATAAATTGTATATAAATGTATATATATATATACATTTCAATATACTAAAATTCATATTGTTCTCTGATAACAGAATTAAATTAGAAATTAGAATAAATTTTCTAGAAAAAAACACATATTTGAAAATTAAGTAAGAAATTCTAAATAATTAAGTCACCTAATCAGAAGGGCAATTACAAATACTTCAATGGGGGTAAAATGGAATATACATATAAACATATGTATTTATTTATTAAAAATCAAATAAGTATATATCGAACTTTGTGGGATATGACTAAAACAATAGTTTAAGAATCGTGTTTTAAAGTTTTATATTTTAAAAGTGTGGCCATTTAGATTCATATTTTAGTTTTCTTAGCCTAACAATGAGAGTATTCTAGGCTCTGGGTTTGATCCCTAACATTACACACATACACAATGGGAAAAGAACGAAAGAAAAAAGAAAAAAAGAAAGAAAGAAAGAAAGAAAGAAAGAAAGAAAGAAAGAAAGAAAGAAAATTAAGCTTAAAAAGGAAGAAAACAATAGTCAATATAAGGAGAAAATTACTAGTTAACAAAGCTAAAAATAGGGAAACTGAAAACTAAACAGATGAGAAAAATAGTATTAGAATCAGTTATCCAAGCTTATTATCAAAATAAAAGAAGATTTAAAATATTTATTTATTTTTTTGTACAAGGTCTCGCTACGTAGCTTGGACTCATGGAGATCCTCCTGTCTCAGCCTCCCCAGTGCTGGGATTACAGGTTGGGCCATCATACCTGGTTTCTGTGGCTGGCACAGCATATAGTACAGGGGAACCAACCAGGTAGGCATTTAGACCACTGAGCTATCTCCCAAGCTGAAGGGTGAGGAACCAGCTCACGCACTGGCTTTTGTACCAATTGCCTCCAAGTGCTGATGGGATAGCTGCCTGGAGGCCAATGTGAGTAAAAAAGATCTCGGTTGTATAATAAGGCTCCAAAGACATGCACCAAAACAGACAGACGCCTATCTCCCTTGGCAGTTTGTCCCTCAGGAGAGCAAAGAATGAACCATGATCTTTCATTCCACCTTTGCAGAAAGTAGCCTGAAGAACTGGTTTCTCTCACTTGTCTTGGAGCATTGCCAGGGCTTGCAAAACTCTAGTTGTCTGGTGGCTGCAGAGAATGACAAAAAACCAGACAGGGGCTACCATTTCCAGGAAACCTGTGGTACAATGGAGAAAATGTTTTCCACCAGAGAGGATACTCCTTTAGGGAAAGCAAATCAGAACATACGTCTAGTGCTCCAGGTTTTGAGGCACCTGCTGAATGACTGGTTTCTGACTCACTCAGCTTAAGGCATAGAAGGGAATTCCTACTATCCTGATGACTGAGATCAGTGAGAACAAAGATCTATATACTTTACAATCTTTACTAAATCTTTGTTCTTTAAGCCCCAGGGCACCCATGGTACTGTAGACAACAGCCAGAGGGACCAAAGAATGTAAGTTTCTGAAAAAGAAAAGTTCAAATCCCTCTAATTATGACTTTACACATACATGTCAAAAGAAGGTATTTCCATAGAAAACATTTCTGAAGTTTCCAAATATCCAGCCTGCATGATTGATGCTCTATAACAGTATAAAGACTGGAAAAGGAGACTCGTTAAAGAATGTGTGCATATAAAGACAAAGAAGAAGGTGAAACTCCAACAGCATACCAACAGTTCTTACCGATGAACTTGAACTCGAAGTGTTCAAATGCACATTTTTTTATATTATAGATCTGCTACAACCAATGGATATGATAGAAGAATATAAATATTGTGTTTGGTTAGTTTCTAAATAACCTACCTACTTAAAAAAATTTGTATGATGCAATAGCAAAATTTTTAAAACTCAGAAAGATACAATTTTTAAAAAAAGGACAAATTGAATAAATTCTTGAAAACCATAAAAAAGAGCTTACTTGTACAGGTAATCTCCGGATCCCATCTTCCATTTATGCAGACAGAGTGCTGAGGTTTTGACTTTCCTCTGCATATGTAGCTCAGATTAAAGTTATGTTGATATTCATTCTTATGTAATTGACCTCCGTAATTTACAATAAAATTTGGTATTTCACAATTCTTTAGTTGATCTGTTGCTACAAAGATGAAGTTTTTTTATGAAAAAAAAAGACTTACTTGAAATTTCAAAAAAAAGACCAATTACAAGAAACAAATTCACTACTGGTAAAAAGCCACAAAGTCAATTTATAAAGAAACTAGGACTTATACCTCCATATTCCACCAAACATTTGTTCCAGTGTGCAAGATGAACTATTATCTATGAACATAAATCTCATGTCCAGTATTTAAATATCAGAGGGAATATCTGTCATAAAATTGTTTTGTATTTTGAGTACTGGAAGAGCATAGAGGTTCACTTTCTCATATGCTGTAAGTAGTGAACAGTCATCAAGTGATGAAATTTCAATTCAGATTTGAAATCTGTGCATATGTTCACACCAATTTCTTTTCTTTTTTTCTTATTCTTTTAAATGTATTTAGTACAGGGTCTACAGGGTCTCACTACACAGATCAGACTCATAGTGATCCACCTGTTTTCAGCCTCTCAAGTGCTGGGATTATAGGCGTGCACCACTTGCCGAGTCTCAGTCACCCTCTCAGAGCACCCTGGGGGCGAGACAAGCACAGCATGCGAAGGACTGAACCCTGGTCCCCGTGCCTGGCTAAGCAGGCACTTTAATCCTCTGATCTCTGGTTGTCCCCTACTTTTGATACCAGGAATTGAACCCAGGACTTTGCGCTTGCCAAGCTGGCAGTGTAATAGTGAAGTATATCCCAGCCTTTTGCTTGCTTTCCTGATTGTAAACAACACTGTATCTTTACACCCACAATTGCAAAGGATTACAAAAATTGAGGAAATATATAAGAAATTAATAACATATATATGTTCAAGATGCAGTGTGAAAAGTAGATTTCAGATCTGCACAATGTAAAATATTTAAGAATTTTTTGTGAAATAGGTACTTTAAATAAGAAATTGAATGCTTAAAGTCATGATTTTTTTTCACATATTTTTAGAGTATTTCCAATAGTTCATCTGAAGATATTGTGATATCATAATAAAATTATGTGGTTTATGTTATGAAGTAATGGTGGACTATTGTTGGTATTTATATATTCAATAACAATGAATATGAAAATTACTTTGAATTAAGTAAAATATTAGTAGAGGTTTCTGATGATTTTTGTTAAATAGGAAAGCAGAGTCATGTGAGGATGAACAGAACAAAGAAGACTAAGTCACCAGCTGAAAAAGAGTCAAGATTCTGTAAACCAATCTTCAAACACAATAAAATAGGCTAATTCACAGCACACTATCCTCAAAAATTAGTCTCATCCATAATTCTGCCCCAGTGCTGCGAAAGAGGGAATAAGAGATTTCGTACCAGGTGGTAACTAAGGGAAGCACAGAGGTCAAGGAGCATCGTTGTGCTTGTAGCTGGGGCCTGTGGCCCATTTCTGGAAGGATTTCCTTATTAATTGGGAGAAAATAAATACATAGGAGAATGAAAAAACCAGATTAGCAGAAATATTGAGAGGGTGGTATTAGATCATTACAGTCAATGGTCCATACAGGGATGTTGTAGGAAGCAGAAATAAGAAAATTAACCACAGGGAACAAAATGCAGAAATTAGAAGAAATATAATTGAAGTAGAAGCTTTGTTGAAAGTTAGCAGAAAGAGTTGAGAGCTTTCATGCCTCAGATTATCGTAGGTTTTCCTTCAGTATAAAGGAGATGAAATCATGTATAGAAATAGAAAAGAACAATGATGAGGTTAGTTTTGAAAGGATTAAAGACACTGCTTTGACAGGGATGTGTTTCGCAAAAATGGTAATGAATTACAAGCAGCAAAACATATTGACTCATTGATAAACCCTTATTGAATGTCTCATATATGTCAGCCTGTCTTCTGTCTGCTGGGAATATACTAGTGAATACAACAGTCATAAACCCTTGTTCCTGAGGAACTGTCCATGTTCCTGGGATTAATCAGTTACAGAATTCTGGAAATCCAGGGAGTAAGAAAAACTGGATATCTAGGACACACTTTGAATGAAGGACCCAAGAAAAATATAGGAAAGAACCCAGCCTAGGAGAAAAGTTAATGAGGGCCCTGAAAGGCTTTTTCAATGAGTCAGAAAAAACTGATCACAAAAATGGCAGGGTGATTTTGCACCAGTGAAATCTATCAGGAAATTTATTTCATGTCCCAATTCTAAATGTTCTGACCAGGGAGTGACACTACCGATTGAGAGGTAGTGTCACCAAGCCAGGGGTGGTGGCCAGTCCAGTGGCAGCATATTAACTTCAATCTGCTACATTTGACACAAGATGGGAGTTTATGTTTTTTTAAAAATGAGTTATTAGACAGAAAATATTTCTAGAGAAAATTGTAGGGCTGGGGAGATGGCTCAGTGGAATGAGAGTTTCCCTGGCAAGTGCAAGGGCCTGAGTTCAATCCCTGGTTCTGCAAAAAAATAAAACAAAACAAAACAGAACAAAAACAGAAAAAAACCCCTAAAACCCCCCAGAAAATTGTAAAGTCATTATTGATTTGCCTTCTAGGATTTCAGGTGAATATTGTATAACAACAATGTTATGTATGTAAAATAAGTAACATTTTCTTGGTAGTAACTACTCTTGTTTGGAGCCTATGAAATTTATGTGTCAAATCTAGCTTTCTTCCTATAAAGTAAATGATAATACCAAACACAAAACATTTGTAAAATTCTATTGCAAGTTTTAATTTTTCTATAGATATAAACTGTTAAACATAAAATGTTTGATTTATTAAATTTAAAATCATACATTTTGAAGAATATCCCTAAATTCAAAAAAATATGAGTGAAAATATTCTTGTAATAGGGCTGGGGAGATAGCTCAGCAGTCTAAGCACTTGCCTGGCAAGTGCAAGAACTGGTTTTTGATCCTGGGTACAGCAAGCCATGCCGTCCCCCAAACCAGGCGTGCTGGCATACGTCTGTAATCCCAGTGCTGGGAGGGCTGAGGCACCAGGATCACTGTGAGTCTAACTGCTTAGAGAGACCTTGTATTCAATAAATAAACAAAAAAATATTTTTGCAATAAAAACATTAAAATATTAAAGATCCATTTGAGAGGTATATTCTCACCAACACACTCAGGAAGTTGGGTCCATGTTCCTCTATCACATGTAATTGAACTGCGTCCAATCATTGTGAAGGTTTCGGTACAACTGAAGTCCACTGAATCTCCGTGGTGATAGGGAGGGTTGGAAGGCAAGGCATAGCCATGGGCAAGTTCAGATATATTTCCACATGTTCGTTTCTCCTCTATGCAAATTTCATAAAAAGATCACAGTGAAGACCTATTGTATATATTTAAATGAATACAAAAGTTGTGTAAGTTTAAATATATTACCAATACATATTGGCAGTGTTGTCCACGCTCCGTCAACACACTGGATTTTACTTGGCCCCTTCAACAGAAATCTGGGATTACACTTGTACTCCACCACTTGCTTGTGCTCGTACTGTTGCTTCAGGGTGTGTGTCACTTCCCCGTTGAGGAGTTCAGGAGGCTGATCACACGTACGGACTTGATCTGTAGCACAATTGACATTGTGTAAATCGTGATTAAATTGTCTATTTTATGATCTTAAAATCCCGTGACATGGAGAGATTTTCGTTAATTTATTATTTATCCTGTAACATTAGAGAACTTAAGAAAAAAAGAATGTTTACTTTGGATCCACATTTTCGGTTACATTACTTTCATGAAGTAGCATCTTCAGGAGTATATTTAGGCTTTACATACACTCAACAATGTAGGTATTTTAAAGATGCATGAAAAACTGTTAGCAAACTTCAATGATTTGAAAAATATCACTGTAGCAAACTGCTTGGCATATTCTCACTTCTATTAACTGACACATGCCTGAGTATTACTTGCATATACTCAATGAGGTTTTAGGTGAGGTTCAAGCCTTATAAAATGTTCTCTATTAAGGACTAGTGCAGGCAAAATGAAAAGAAACAACACAAGACTTTCCAGTCCCAGCCACCAGGGTTTTATACATGAAATTACCAACGCATATCTTAAGAAGCAACAGTTGATTGAATTCTTAAATAAATGAATCCATATCTAAACTACAGGCACACTGGAAACCTCCCAGAAGTTAGGAGAATAAAAAATATGTGTATTCACAATTTTAATACTCACCTCATCGATTGTAATGTAAATATTTACCTTTGCATGTTGGGACACTGGGGGACCATCCAAAGTGGTAACACTGCACAGAATCTGGCCCAACTCTTGTTAATCCTGATCGGCAGGAGAATTTCAGCAAGTCCCCAACTTTGTATTTTTCTTTTGTGAGAGTAACAGTCACATACTTGTCCAAGAGGGGAATTGGACATTCTTTTTCTTAAGAAAGCAAAATAATTTATGAAAATGCAACATTAATAGCTGCCAAAATGAAGTTTATATTTTTCACATAAAATTAATGCAAGGCCTTGGTGATACACAAGGAGGGGCATCAGAAGTCTCTTTCTTGAGGGCTAGGGAGATGGCTCAGTAGAATAAGTGCTTTCTGGGCAAGCATAAGGGCCTGAGTTCAATCCCCGGCTCCGGAAAAAAAAAAAAGAAAGAAAAATTTTCCTTGAAAATTTTACTTTTAAATTCATATGGGATTATCTAAGAAATATTATGTTATTTAACTAAAATAGATCTGTCCTGAAAATTAATTTGTACTAGATTTTGTTTATTTCTGATTTTATAGAACTTACAGTTTAAACTCTCAAAAATATGATATCTTTTCATATTTAAAAACAGTAATATTGCACAACTTTCAAATTACACTTTAAAATACAAATTTGTATGTTTGTTTAATACAATTTAGGGCATAAAGCAAATGAGATATTTTTAATGCATTTTAAGTTAGAAGAGTGTGAAAAATCAGAAAAGTAGTATATTATTAATGAAGAGCACAGGCTAAGAGACATGTTCAAAGCAACATTGATAAACATCTATGAACCTTGAATCTTTTCGTTAATCTTTGGTTATTGTATTATATTTTTGATTGTCTTAATGATTCATTGTTATTCCCCCCCCCCTTTTTTTTTGCCTTTTTGAGATAGGGTTTCACCATGTTTTCTAGCTGCCTTTGAATTGATGTAGCCCTGTTGCCTCAATTTTCAGAATGCTGGGATTACAATGTTTGCTGCTATGCGTGACTCTACTAGATAGTTATTATGATTCAAGTTAAGACTGCAGAAATTTGCTTATATTTAATTATTAAAAAATTTTAAACATTTTAAAATTATTTTTAAAAAATATTTAAAATTGTGATGATAAATTTTACCAAAAATGTACTTCTTATTTGCAATCCTCTTTCCTTAGGGCAAATGCAAAAATTAGAATTATACCAAAAAGAAAATTCATGCCTTTAAAATCGAACATGAGTATATAATTGTAAAATTTGATATACAGTACTGGTTTAAAGATAATACCTCAAAAACCAAAATTTTGCATTGTGACTTAAGACGCAGTTCAGGGTACAACACACTGAGCACATATGGAGGCCTGGATTTAATCTCTTGCACCCTGCAAAAATTGCTTTTGTGTGATTTTTGTATTGAGTTTTTTTATATTAAATGAGAAGAATCATACTTGAATGACAACCATAAGAACTGCTCTCTTAAAATTGTATTCCATGCATAGTGAGATTATTTCAAAATACTAAAACATGACTGCCGTGTCATAATTATTCATTCTTTTCAAATATGAAGTACTTCAGGTGAATTAGTCACAGGCAATTTTAAAATACATGTGCATCCAAACTAGTATATCAGACTATGTGCAATAGATCTGCGTAGATAAGCTAAGATAACTGATAGACTAGTCATTACCGTTTGGCGTGTCGGCATGATGTGCCACTTTAATGTGTGTGTTTGCGTAACTGAGATGCTTATAGGCCAGTATGATCTTGATGTCTGCTCTTTCTTTTTACATTAGCTATGTGGCTCTGACAGACAAAACAGGAGGCTCTGCTGGTAGCTCTAGCTTGTGGTCGCAAGGCCATATATGAGCACCCACGCGTGGACAGAATTGTGTTGTAATATAATGTCCGAAGGATCTTGTCGCCTCCATCTAAGTCCACAGTGCCTAGTTGGCCAGGGAAAGAGCAGAGCTGGCTGCAAAAACCCTCCAAAATGTTGAGAGGATGCCTGCTTTCTTTACAACGCTTGTGTCTTGTGCACAGAGAAAATGTGTTCTCTGTTTGGTAAATCAAACATAAAAGGGTAAATATCTCTCTATCCTTCCTTAAAGGGACCGAAGGCCTTTTGACTGAGTGACTGTACACTGGGGAATAAAAATAATTAGACATTTAAAAAGTTGTATTCCAATCTTCTGCATAACAGGTACATATGTGAGTGCTTGTATTTATTTTATGTAAATACTTTGTCATTAGTATTCGTAAAAAATACTGCATTAATGATTAAAAGGGTCTTGACTTTTGAGTATAGAGAAACTATTCTATTCTTATATAGATAATAACTATATGTAGAAGTGATCTCTAAGAAGAGTATGAATAGACATATACTGAATAAAAAATATTTGTCTAAAAATCAGAAGACCCAGAACCACCCATGCCTTCCTGGGAAAGGGCCAGGCTAGAGGAGATTGCTAGGGCACCCCTTATCCAGTCTGGATTAATGAACAAATTCCAGATAAGTTCCCATTAGGCATGGAGAAGTTGGACAACTCCGACACAAGGAGTCAAATTGAAAACAGTGGAGAAAAACTTAGGCACCAGGGCTTGTCACCCCAGGGCTGGATGGACATATGCAGAGACAGAAGACTCCCGTAGTACAAATCAATTTTTAATGAAATAACAACAAGTTGCTTATTTCTGCCACCTACTGGGCAGTGTGGTACGTGGAATATTCAGCGCCCTACCCACAGTGTTGCTCCCACAGAGGGAGGAGACAGCCACTGAGAAGGGCAGAGTGCTTGGGAGGCATGGCTATACCTAGGATCCCTGAAAAAGAAGGAATACTCCTAGTAGTGTCGGTCAGTGGAACTGAAACTGACAGCCGCCATAAGCAACTGCCATAGTGGCCTCTGGTAGGCCTTAGGCAGGAGGAAATTGCGAGGCCAGTTGAAACCAGACAGTGACCTAGGTGAGGAGAGGGCTGTGTGGAAGAACTCGGTCACTGCTGTCACAACTGTGTGAAGGTTGTTATTGTGATGGTTGTTATGGTAATTGTTGTCATTACAACCTTGCCAATTTGTTGAATTTGGACTATTTGGTTCTTGTCATTGTTTCTGTTTCTTTTTTTATGGAATCTTATTTTATATTTTCGTCTTTATTTTTTTAAAAAACCCATTAGGAACAATACAGAATTTCACTAAACAATATAGTAGGAATCCAGCAATAGTTGTTATATTGCATATTGCTGTCATTAAATTTGTTGCTCAGAGTACCAACCATAAGCCTGCAAGATTGATCCCAAAAAAGCAAAAAATTAAAAAGGAGAAAAAAATTGTTATTGCTTTTTATCCTCTTTCCATTCTCTATTTTCATTTTTTACTCTTCTTTCTTCTGGTTATCTTTATTGGTATTGGATAATTACAATACTTAGCACTTTAAGTTTCACATTTAATCTACTCTCACATCTCTCAAATCCTTTAATTCTTCCTGCCTCTTGACCCTTAGAGGAACCTAATAAAATTATGAACAAACACATTGATAGATACAGTCTCCCCAATATCTAAATTCATCCCCATTAACCTGAAGACATCCTCTTGACTAAACAGTATTCGAACAAAACTGCTTCATATCAACCCAAACCTGGACTTTACAAATATCCTATCAAAATCTCGATATCCCTGTTATAAAATAATTCCAACAGAGTTCAACTTTTGTCTTTTTACCCGCTGACATATCCCATATCTTCTTCTTCCCATTGAGAGATCCGTTTCCCTTTACCCTTTTTTTCATATGCCTACCTCCCATTTATTTCAGTACAGTATACTCTGTAAACTGCCTGACAAAAGGGTAAAATTATCTAAAACATTTTAATGTATGTGAATTAATGTATGCTGTATGCTGTTGACATTGTTACTGGACTATATTACCTTACTTTGCTGAATTCATGCACCTATAATATATGAATGGCAATGGAATACCCATCTCTGACAAAAAGTAAACAAAAAAGGGGGATATAAATGAAGGACAATTTTGTAGTGAAAAATATGTATCTGTATATACAAAATAGCACAGATATACAGCTGCTTTCTCTTAGTTCAATTAGAAGAAAGTTTTGAACTAATAGTGTTTAGACAAGATATCATGTCTGCATCTTGTGTTATGAATACTATGAAGACAACAATATGCAATGTATTAATTATTATAACCGTACTAATAACCCATTTTGAAACTGTCTCATTGCTACTTCTTTCTCAATAAAATTAATATAAAAAGAAGAATCAAGAGAAATTCTCTGGATACATATAAATTTCACATATGAACCAAGAAGACTCAAAAGTTCTCAATAATCCACTAACGGGCAATGAAATTGAAGTAATAATAAAAAACCCCTAACGACTAAGAAAATCCCAACCTGATGGTTCACTGCTGAATTCTAGAAGAACTTTAAGAACGATCTGGGGCTGGAGAGATAGCTGAGTAGTTTAAGTGCCTGCTTGGCAAGTTCAAGGTTCTAAGTTCGATCCCTGGTACTGCAAATGAAAAAAAAAAAAAAAAAGCAATAAAGAAAATATTTAAAATATTTAAAGAAATGGAGAGGTAAAGAATACTCTTTAAATTCAGAGCCAGTCTGCCCCCTGAACCAGACAACGGTTCAACCCACAAAACAGGACTACAGTAAGTCCCCGATGTACAATAAATAAGTTTCACTCTGTGAAAACAGTCAAAATTTGTTAACAAGTCTGAAAAAGTGAGAGTTACACATCTTTGAAACAAATGTACAAGGTAAAACAACAAAAAATAAAACCACAGAAAAATACCATGTCTCTGGCTGTACTACTGTACACTATTGTACTGTAAGTAAGCACACAGAAGTGCTAAACCGTGAGAAGGTCCAGCAGATGTGAGCAACTAATAGAATTTATTCAGATCCACAGATGTTCATAATGAGAGGTTCACTTGTATCTGTAAAAGCTCACAACTTGCATATTCATAAGTTGTGAGCTTTCTGTACAGGTCAAGCTTCTTAATGATGACAGATGCTGAAGTCTCCAACAAGATACTGGAAAACAAATCACTACTAAGTAGACTTCATGCCAAGAATGCAAAAATGGTTTAACGTATGCAATTAAATGTAATTCATCTCATAAACAGAAGGAAGGACAAAAAGTACATGATAATCGCAATAGATTCCAGAAAAACCTTTGATAAA